ATAAATTGGGTAAACCAAAACACTACTTCATTCTACGTTTTGTATTCTCCAACAACTTGTTTCAGTGTTGGTAAGTAAAGAACTCCTCACTGTAAACCGCACTTAGAAGACAAGCCGACTGTAGGAAACCCGGCGTGTGTAATCCAAGCAACAAAGATGAACGAAGAACTAGATGAAAGGCGATCTTCGACAACTTGTTTCACCAATAAATACAAATGGCCGCTTTCTGGAGCTATGAAACTTACGTAACCTAGCCGAGCATAGACTGGAACCTATCCTTGACGATAGCGAACCACGTGACAAGCGCTCTGTCCACTGTAACAAATAGAGCCAGCCAGGAATAGTGCGGTTTACACCTCGTGTAAGCCACACAAAAATGCACCACAGAGCCCGGAATTTGTCTCACGTAAGGGTCAGTGGACTTCCTTTCCTTTATAATTTTGTTCATGAAACTTCGGCACTAGTCACACAACTATATCGTCAAAATCTGTTACACTAAAGAGTCTGAGCCAATGATTTAAAGAGAAGTATTAGTCAGCGTTCTCTTTGTTTTGAAGTCTCTATCTGTTAATTCGACATCCGTGTAAGTGTTCGTAACAAATGCTTCTCGACTTACGTCTCTAACAAATGAAAAGACGCTGATCTATATCAGCGAGCCCGCAATATGCCAAGAATATTGGTCAGGGGATTCTTTGATACAACAGCTGTCACTTTAACATCTCAATGTGGATGTCCGCCACAACAACGCGGTTAAACGATTGCACTGGAGGCTTAATACGTTTAGGACCAAATGTTATTACATTAGGGACTTGACTACATTTGGGACAGCTATTAAATTTAGTACTTCAAAATATGTCGTCATATAGCTTTAACTTTTCACTACCAAGTAACAAGAACAAACGGCATTATCTGCCAACGAACTCATCTAACGAAAAAATGACAATTTAACTCTCTGGCCTAGCGAGCTACGCTATTGGGTCTTTTTGATCCGATATCTTTCGTATACCCACTAGTTACTTGCGACATTATGGAAACTGAGCAAAATAAGTTTATTGTTGGGCAACGGTAGTGCTTGTGCTCTAAATTGATTCACACATGTGTAAATGTATAAATATGTATGTTTATTTGTGTATGCATTTTACCTCTACGTTTCATATATTGTGAAGCGCCTAGAGCACGACTGGATAGGCGCTATATAAATACGGTTTATTATTCTTATTATTCTTATCATTTTTTGTATTCTTATTATTAAATCCACGAATCTAGTCTGCTCGGCTAACCTTTTCGATTCGATGCCAAGTCGCATGGCAAGTTCTGTCTTCGAGAGGAAATGTGAGACTGGTATTATTTTATCGTTTTTCCCTTTCCTGAAGGGGAATTATGTAGGAAAGAAAAGCTTTATCAACTCTTTAGCTATCCAATGTTTCTAGATTATTCCTCAACATTTGATATCAAAATCGTCCTTTGTCTTACTGAAAGAATGACAGAAAAGGGAAATAGTTTATTGACGACATATTTGTAGAGAGAGTTTCTAACATGAAGCAATGTTTTCTCTTACATTTGAATGGAGGAAAAGCGCTATTTCACTTTCTGAAAAACGTTAATCAGTCGGATATTATTTTCATTTAGGTTAGAGAAAGATACACTTAAGCAGTCTAAGAAAGCATCCAAGAATCCCAGTATCGAACGAAGAATCTTAAGATTTAAACAAAGGAATAATTAAAAAGGGGTTCTTGGAACGGGTGGAAAATCTTGTAAAGGATATTCAAGAGACGAAGGAGGCACGAATAAACAGTTAACTAATGCGTACACATGTGTGTGATTTGGGCTTCGAAGTCGAAGTTTCTCTGACCTGTGAGGCAGAATCTGCGTATGCACATTTACGTTGCGAAAGGAGTTTACTAATATTAGAACCATCATACCATACCATACCTTATTTCTTCGACTTTTTGGTCCATTTCTTTGGAATTCATTATGATTACATCAATCGGCTCCCCCCAAGGTCCAATCTCCTTTATGTCTTCTTTGATCTTGGAAGTTACTTTTTTGAAGTTTTGCTTTAGGGCCACCAAATTGTTATCCTGATGATAAAGAAGTTTAACTTGAAGAGTTTTGCCCTAGCAAGATATCTTCATTACCTTAGGATCGGTCACGTCATGTTTCTTCTGTTCCACTGCTTCCCTTATTTTCGTTTCGAGGTCTTGAGAATGTTGCTGGAAGAACTCGTCAAGGCTGACAGCTTCGGGTATACTTATCTCCAAGTCGACATTAAAAGCTATATATCTTCTTGCCGAATAGTTTCGTTGTAAAGCCGATTTTCGAGACTTTGGTGGAGCAGGCGTGGAGGAGCTTCCCGGAACATCCTTTGCCTCTGTAACTTGGTCACCCATTTGCCGCCTATTATCTACAAATTTAGGTATGGTAATAGTTAGGAAAGTGATATGGATTTTCCGTAAATCTTTTACACGCAATGACTGCCGGAATTTTAAAGAGCTTTTTTTCCTGTCCGTGTCTTGTCTTTCTGTATATCTCGTGTCGTCTTCAAAACAAAGTTTCTAGTTTTGTTTGCAACGCAGAATTTTGTTGTATGGCAGTCAGCTTTTAAGAAGCCCATGAAAACCGAAAGGCAGCGTTTGTCTTTTTTTTCCTTTCCTCTCTTTGATATAGGTGAAATGAAGATTTTGACTACTGATTCCTGAGAACGATTCATAAATTTTGAAATCCAAAATCTTTGACTTCAGAATAAAAATATTTATACGAGGCCTATGAATACTGAAATGTGTATGGCTTTTCGTCCTCGATAAGCATATTTCAGTCGGAGCGCCTCAATATGCCCATCTCACTTAAAACGCATTATTTATCATAAGCATTGTTTTAAATTCGACCAATACTCAGCTATCAGCAGAGTAAGATCGAGACTCCTGACAGAATAAGAGAATATACACAAGCTTTATGCATTAGTCAGCGGAATTAACAAAAAGTTGAGGGAAATGGAAAGACGGAGTGATTAAGTGAAGACTGAGATGAATTTTTCTTCATAACAACAACTCAAAAATGGCTTTCATAGATTAAAAATATATAAAAGCTCTGTTAGGGGTCTGGGTAAATAGCATTCTTCATTTCTCATTTAAATGACTGGCTCTTTAGATATTCAGTGGGCCACCACAACTGCATCACGAATTGTTGTAATTTTTAACTAAAAATGTAAAGGGAAAATTATTAAGCACCCATTTTGTCAACAAACGATGCCACTTCGTTTGTTGACATAACTAATATCTTCCTTGATGTATTAAAATTCTTTAGTGTAGGAAGCGGTCGACGTCAGCACTGAACCGAAATGAATATGTCATAAATGCAAACATTGATTTAAAAGAGAGTCGACGAAGATATTCGACAAAAAGTACACGAAGAGAGATCATGACATGGTTTCTATATTGTTTAACCTTCTCAGACTCGAGAGAGCGTTATTTATGCAAAAAATATTTGTAGTCTCGTGCCTGGAGTTTATCACACATAAAACCTGATCATGATCTCGAGGGCAAGACGGGGTAATCCATGTTTCTGTTTCAGTCCTGAAGCTCGCCTTTATTTAAACGTCTAGAATGTATGAGTAATAATTTATTTGTGAATAATTGTACTCAGATAGACCGTGATTGGTTGCCTGAATAAATAGCCAAAATTTTACACACAACCGACATTAGTGGTGGATTTTCTGCAACTGACGAGTGAAACGACCTGATCGTCCTTAATGTCCGGTTTTAAACAGCATTTTTACGCAGTCTTTCCTGAAATGACACTAAAATCTTGTAACAGGAAGCCGCTAGTGTCATATTTTGCTAGTATGTTCTGTATCAATGTAATATTAGCCACTTGATCCTTTGATCAGTGATCAAATACCGATTTCTAGAGAGTCAACCAAGATATTTGGTTTAACATTACACATAAACAAAAGTTTTTTACTCTTTCCTGATATAAATACGCCATGTTTTTGCTAACTCAGGAAATACTTAAGGAAGGCACTAGTGTCATATTTGCTCATATATTCTGCACCAGCATCATATCAGTTGCATAATCCTCTGATCCTGATTTACGTTTACGCTTTCAACTCGTAAGATAGCACGATGGTGGCTGATGCCTGCGATATAAAATGGATCGTTTATTTGGTTACAGCGTTCATATAACACAAAGAGGTTATTCATAGGTTTCAAGAAATTGTCAAGCAAAGCTAAGTAACCTCTGCCCTCGAAATTATGATCAGGTTTTATGTGTGATAAACTCCAGGCACGGGACTACAAATGTTTTTTCCATAAATAACGCTTTCTCGAGTCTGAGAAGGTTAAACAATATAGAAACCATGTCATGATCTCTCTTCGTGTACTTTTTGTCGAATATCTTCGTCGACTCTCTTTCAAATCAATGTTTGCATTTATGACACATTCATTTCGGTTCAGTACTGACGTCGACCGCTTCCTACACTAAAGAATTTTAATACATCAAGGAAGATATTAGTTATGTCAACAAACGAAGTAGCACCGTTTGTTAACATAACTAATATCTAATAACTATTTAACTCAAACAACCAGTTTTCGTGATACTCAACTCTTTACAGACCTTACAAGGAAAGGGAAGGGAGGACTTGGTTTCGGATAGCGAGATTGATAAACATGCGAGGTGCAAGAAAACAAAAGGTCTTTATCATGTAATCGGCATATGGTCAATACTGTGTTTATTTCCGTGATTGGTTAGAGTTGTTAAAAAAAAAAATTAAGTAATGGACATTGATGCTTACTGGCTAAAGATCATTCCAGCTCATTAGAAACGACTAATAAATTCAGCCGTGTTACAAAATATCGAGTATTTTGCTTTCGGAAGAGTAAGTGGACTCGGAGGTTGCAGAAAAAGACAAACCAAAGCACGTCATCTCTCATCGGATACGCAACAAATATTTGTCAATATAGCTGTAAGATTGACAGAAATAATGAGAGGTGCTGCAACAAGGGAGTGTAGACACTAAAATTTCCAAAGAGACATTTAATGATTTGGGCGAGTTAACTGTTCCGTTGACAGAGGCTTCTTTGCGGTATTCCATAATTTCGATTAGGAAAGGACCTTCCTCGAATCGCTGAAGTGCCCTTCTACACAGAATAAGGCCAATTTATATGACATAGCAAATAACATTCCCGTTCTTCTTCTGTCTACGTGTAATTAGTTGAGAGCTGCATGGAGAAACCATGCTGTTGCGCACGGTACATTTAAAAGTGAATAAACTACGGGAATAAAGCAATGAAATAGAAATGAAGGCCTGTTAGATAAGTTCCTGAGGGCGGCTATGCTGTGTGTCTAAGGAGCTTTTATGTGGTTGGTAGACCGAACAGATCCAACCAGTAATTAGGAGACCAGAATTTTCTTGTTCAGTTCATTAAATTGTTGAGTGCGTCTAAATAAACTCTGGCCGGCGACTTACAACGCTTCCTTTCAAAACTTCCTGTGCTTAGAGCTATCCTAAATAATTCGTGACAGGATGCGCATCGGTATATGTACAGTATCTAGTGAACGGAAAAATCCATCGTGATCAATCTAGCTTAAAACATTAATTCCTCCGCCGATCTGTGGTGTCTCAATGGTCTAAATGCTGCAGGTACAAGGCATATCGGTCGCAGCAACGTTTTGAGGATTGATTTTTAAAATCATTGGCTATTGAGTATACACCGAACGCAAATATGGCGTCCAATTTGAATTGCCATTGTTCTGGACTGACTAGCCTCTCGCACATGTACTAATCCTTTTGTATTTCAACGTGAAGACTAGGCTGTCAGTCCAGAACAATGGCAATTCAAATTGGACGCCATATTTGGATTCGGTGTATATCTTATGGCTATAAGGTATCAATGCATAATATGCGGAGATTCGCTCTACCTCGTTACGATTACGTTCTGCTATGATAAGAAATTTTCAAACAGCAAGGATGACATAAGCCGTTCGAACCATTTTATGTATGGTTCAAAATTAGTAGTTAATAATGGTGATAGTTTGAAACTAGGAGTAACATTTGATCGTGGAGACTCCTTTAATTTCAATATCTGTCGAGAGAGCGTTCATTGCAGTAGCAAAAGCTATTTGAAGTACATTTTAAAGCTTACAATTCAATAAGGCAATGTTATGGCGTTCAATTCATATTAGTTTATGCATAATGCTCACTCGTAGATTGATATGACGAATAAGATTTTCCGAACAAAACGTGGAAAAATGTTACCTACAAATGCCAGATTCAGAGCCAAGAGTTTTAGCTCTACTGCTCACATGGCCTATATTTCTTAATGCCATGAACACAGGTGAAATGATTTCCATGTCGTTCTTACGAATACCAAATCATGGATGCAAATTGTAGTAATGGCATACTGATACTAGGTGATCGATATTAGGCGTTTTCCATTTATAAAACCTATATCTTCACGACGCTGATCAGTGCACATGGAACGCGGAAGTCAGCTTGTCTTCATTTGATCTGGCATTCAAGCGCATAACATCTGACTCCGCCAGTGCTGCCGCGACTCATAAAACGCGACTAAAATCGCTAAATCAATATTTCAAACTGACCGAACATTTCGAGGAGGTAGACTCTACTAAAGTCTTTCATTTAGGATAAGGCGCCATTTCCTGATCCAAATAACGCAGTCACTAAATAACCGTTGTCAGTACTGGCACTTAAGAGATTTCAAAACACATAGTCGAAAGATAATTAAAATCAAGTTGGTAAAACTTTTGTTAGACATCTACCTACAGGGCAGTATCTTCAGAATCGAAATAGCTGAAAAAATGTGATTAATATTTTGATACACGCACCTTTAATGTTGCTCTTCTGCAACCACAAAAACCACCACAATCCAGAACGCAGGTTTTAGTTCAGTAGAGTCGATTTGCCTTCTTAAAATCTCTCGTCTTATTATTTCTACAACGCGTAGATCAACAGAGAAATATCGTAGGGGGCTAATGGTCTTATGAGGATACAGCGCTTCGCAGTTATGAGTTATCATGCCAGTCTGCACTCTCTCCGCGTGATTTCTGCATGACCGCTTACAGCTGTCAGTCAATAGTCTAATCAATTATGAGGGCTGCACAAGAGGCTAGTTTATCTATTGTGACAGCTTCAGCACGTCACGGTGGAATTTTCCGGTGATCTTCTAATCATTTATGTTTGTCACTTGCAGTTTGCACTGTTGTTGAAAAAAAAAACCATTTTTTCTTTCTAA